CCCCAAAACCCCAAAACCCCAAAACCCCATTCAGAAGTATTAGAGTAAGATTTTATGAAATATTATACAAAACTTCTAAGTCAAATTTCCTATAATAACAATAAGTTTAGATATATTCAGAGATACCTTTGATTGCCAAATCATATTAAAATAAATAAAATAGGATATATTTAACAAAAAGGAAACCTATCAATGTCTACTTCAACTTATAGCAATGGTGAACAAGTAGGTTCACTTGCCATTGTGGTGGCAGTAGCAGCTGGAGCTGGAATAGCAGTTGGTCTGTTATTTGGTTTCACCTTTCCACCTCTAGGAAAATTCAAGGGATATAGACTTGAACCTGTAATTAAAAAAGTCTAAGTGCCATCTTTGATAGTAATGATTATATTGGGTTGCATTGCCAGGAATCTTTTCGGTAAGGTGATGGATGCTTATCCAACATTATGGACTTCTTACATCAGAAGTATATGCCTGTCGATACTGCTAATTAGAGGAGGATTACAAGTAACTTTTCAGGGAAAGGGATTGATAGTGGCATTTTTAGCGTTCGTTCCACAGATCTTTGAAGCAGTAACGATAGCTCTGATTGCATATGGATTATTTGATATGCCGATGTCCTTGTGCTTTGCGATGGCTTTTACCATTTCATGTATAAGCCCCTCAGTTATGGTTCCAGGCCTAATCAATCTCAGTGATAAGGGCTACGGAAAAGAGAAAGGAATTATCAGTTCTCTTATTGCTGCAGGTACTTTTGATGATATCATATGCATTATATGCTTTGGTATCTGTAAGACAATTGCTTACAATGACGGTAAAATGAGTTCGGATAAAACTCTAGAAGTTGCTATTTACGTATTGATTCTTGAAAATATTGCTGGATTAGTAGTAGGATTTATAATGGCAATGGTTGGCAATATCTTCAGACTCTTCCCAAAAACTTGGGTAACTATGCATCTTAAGATGTGGTATTGCATTGCTTGTGCTATTGCATTCGTCATCGCTGGAGAGCAGTCAAAATGGACTAATTCTAAATATATTGCTAGTTTGACTTTTGGATACTGTTCCTATAGGGTATGGGGTGAAGATAAACCTACCAGGGAACTAGGATGGTTTTGGTGGTTTATTACACCTCTATTTTTCGGTTCAGTAGGAGCAGCATTACTTTTCAAGACCATCAGAAATAGTGATATAGGGTATGGTGTAATATGTATTATTTGTGGACTTATAATCAGATTGATCGTTGTTATTATTCTGGCTCAGTTCCCTCGAGGATAGCTCAACAATAGAGAGAAAGCATTTATGGCATTCGCTTGGCTACCCAAAGCAACTGTTCAAGCAGCATTGAGTGCGGTAATTTTGAATGATGCCAAAAAACAGAAAAATGTTGAAATGGAGCATTACGGGAACATTATTCAGACAGTTTCTATCTTTTCCATCGTAATCTGTGCCCCTATTGGAGCTGTTTTGATATCCACTTTTGGTCCCTTATTTTTATCATAATCTAAGAAATAAGAAGAAACTATCTAGATCGAGGATGATGATAAGTAGATTGAGATGAAGGATATGGAAATTGAAGTTGAGACCTCGAAGAAGAAAGACTAAAGTATCGGTCCAGGCGAGTATTCTAGAAAACTTGAAGAAACTGTTGGAGGAATCGACATTGCTGATGAAGATAACCAAGAAAACATGAACACTTATAGTAGCCCAATGAAACTCAAGATGGAGTTCTGAATGGCTCATATTACTGCATCAAAAGGTGTCAAAGCATCATGCAGCTATCTAAATAATTCTGATCTTTAGAGTATATATCTCTTGAATATATTTACACTTAAATTTTCTAATCAAAAGTGTTATTTTTTAAACTCGGGGTTTTGGGGTTTTGGGGTTTTGGGG